CCATTGTCATTAATTTACTATAGTCACTTAATTTGGGTTGGTTTTAATTTAAAAACTCAATGTAAACATTTAAAGTTAAATTTTATGTTTGTTACCTATTTGAGCTTAAAAATGAAATCCCAAGATTTTAAACATTATTCAGCATAAAGAAGCATCACAGAAGAATTTGTCTCAATATCTTTAGATCAGACTAGATATGCAATATTCATAGATATACAAAATATATAGAAACGTCTTTTCTAAATAGTTAATAAATGCTTGTTATAGTTTGTAAAAAGTTTATTAAATTAATCAGGTTTTTTTTCCAACCAATGTAAACAAATCTGGGCAATGAAAGTTGAGGAGGGTTTCAGTGAGGTGATATGCGGGAAACCGAAAGGATGTCAGTAAAAATTTGGGTTTGCTTTATTTCCTTTAGCTATTGGCAACATATTCAATCATAAACATTTCTCACATTGCACAATTCTTTTATGGTATCTATGCAAAATTTTTATATCTCCCAGTGAAAATGTCAGACTACCTAGTTGAGTGTGTATGTATATCTCTTACCATTTTTGTCTTTTTTTGGTCATATCATTTCCCCCCTCCTGGAAATTCGAAGAAAAAAAAAAGATATTTTATCGTTGAGCAACAAACTGCCTGCTGTTCCTTTTCTTCATTTTAATATTCTTTTGAATGCAGGTTTCTAAAAGTGTCCCCATGAGCCTGGCAGGGTTTTGCTATCACACTCTGCTCATTGCAAGTTGTTTTTCTCTTGTAGAGAATGTCCTGAGAACACAGTTCTGGGATTGGGGCACTTGTCTCCAGAGTGCGTTATTTTGGTATTTCTGCAGAGGTTGCCAGTAGTGGAAACCTTATTCAAGGCAAAAAACCACACGAGAGTTTGGTAAACCTCACACTTTAGCTTTCCGGGTTTTCTCCTCTTAACTGTTTAATACCTCCACGCGAGAGTCTTTGCTGCACGTTTGAGGATTTCTGTCTTTGAGCTTATATGTCTGTGTTTGGGGGTATATGGGATGGTGACAAAGCTGTTACTAACAGAAGTTTGTCCTACTGAGTTTTGCTCCCTCCATTTCTGGTCTTCTTGCCCGTATTTTTTTTTCATAAAACAAGGGTTACAGAAAAAAAGCAGTGAGAGAACTTCCAAATTGGTTCTGAGTGACCATCAAATCACCTCATCATCCCTGAATTTCAGTGTTTTTAGACATAGTTCACTGACTTATCATAGAAATGGGGCCATGTTGAGGACAAGGGTGCAACACCCCACACACTGCTTAACATTTGTGGAAATTAAGTTCCCCTGTCTACTTTGCCTTACGATGGTTTTCATGTGCCTGACATGACCCTGACCTCCCTACCTTTTTTAGAATGTCAGTATTTCTAACTTGCTCCTGAATTTCAGAAAATATTTGAAATGCACTATTCAGAATTTAGAACCCAAAACTGTATGGAGGCAATCAACACAATTTTGTCTGGTAGCATTCAGACACATGGACTTTGTTGGAGTTTTGGATCTGTTGTGCCTCAATTGGTTTTTTAAAAATTGTTTAAATGTTTAAGTACCTGGATTTCTCAGTAGACTCATTTGGCACTGGCTGCAGCACTGCCTTTGCCAGATGTGTGAATATCTGTAAAGTTAAGTGTGGTAGCATGAAAACAGTCTCGAGGATAAGATATTAAACTCAAATAGTACAACTTTAACACAAAGTTCATGAAAATGCTTCCTTGTTTGGAAGCCAGGAAAAATAAGCTAACCTATGAGACTTAATCATGCACTGGGTAAATTTACATTCAGTAGAGTTTATCTTGCATGCTTTGGTTAATATTTGAATAGGCAGATTTGCAAGTACTAATGCATGCGTTATTTTGTACCTGAGGTTATATGTTTTATTTTTTTAAAATTGCCTTTTTACAAACCTTATGTCAGAGTTCATCTATGAACACTCTTTAAAAAAATATATATATCTACTTCTTAGTTCAAAACAGTTTAATTTCAACCAGTTCTATAAATACTGAGATGACAGGGAAAATGTGCAATAAAATCTGGAAAGGGAATGAATTTGAAATTATTTTACAAAGTTGAAATCATGTGTGTTCATGTTTAACAATTTCTAAAATATGAGGCCTCGAAAAAGATGGCACACGAATTAAGCCTTCTGTTTCTAGAATGCTTTCAGAATCATTTCAAGGTGTAAAACAACAGCAACAATGAACTTAAAGTGCAGTCCAGTCTTGTGGAACTGATTCAGGGGCAAATGAGGAAGGGACACAAAATGACCATCTTGTTTTCTTTTTCTATCCCCAAAGAACTCACAGATAAAGGATAGGGAACAGAGTTTAGGAGCTCCTGTTAAATGTTGGGCTAGCTATAGTTTGGTTCAAGTCTTGCTTGTATAGCAAGAATGTTCTAGAAAGATTTATCTAGTTTAAGTTCCTAAACATGGACCCAAGATTCAACACAATAATTCTCTTTACAGTAAAGAAGAAGACTGGCATAAAACTCTGAATGTGAGTGTGTCCTGGACATTCCAACCTGGTTAAGTATCACTGATTGGCCATTCCAGTTGAAATGCAGATTGGCTGAGAAAGCACAGCTGCTAGTTTTCTGTTAAAGTTTCCTGGTGGACAAGAGCTGCCTCTTTTTCCAGGAGTCATGGGGAACGATCTTCAGAGAAAGCAAAGGGAATGATGACTCAGTGTGATGGGCCCAGTAAGGGGATGTTTTGCTCTTTCTCGTCCTTATTCCTCTACCTCTTCCCCACTGTTAAGGTACAGCAACATGTGGAAACAGCCCCCTAGACATAACTATAACATATTTTGAAATTCAGCAATGACCACTGGCTTTCAGTTCTTGAAAGATATATCTAAGCATCTGAACAGCCATTCCAGTAAAACAGTAGTATCCTCTAAGGCATCATAGGCTTGCTTACATATTCAGTAATATAAGAAAAAAGAAACTCAAAGCCTTTCCAGGTGCCTCAGAAAGGAAACGAGGACACCTTGCCCTTTGAAATGGAAAGAAGTAATTTAAATGTCAATTTCAAACCACCAGGGTAAGATACCCAAAACAGTTCTGCCTTAAAAGAATGTGTGTATACTTAAAAATGTATACAATAAAGACTGTTCTATCATCTTACTAATTTTTGTTGGTGCTCTGATTTCTATAAACTTTCACTTGTTTTTTTACTAACTGTTTTTACTTAATTTTATTTAAAAATATTGAAAAATATCTTGGGCAATAGTTCTGAACTTGCTGAGAGGCAACCACTATGAAAATCTTGGTTCTGATAGACTCTAGATATACTGGAGAAAGTCCTATTGAATGTTCTGCAAATTATTAAATTATGATGGGAATGGAAAATTGTCTACTCTCCTCTGAAGTCACTTTGTATTCTGACAGCAAAATACAACTTGGGCTGCAAAATTTTCCACCACTTAACAACAAATTAAAGTATCCTGCACTTACCCTACTGTTAGGCTTTAAATTGTTAACTGACGTCATGTTAATATTGCAAATTCAGTTACTGTTGAAAGTATAGAACGGCGTCATAACAGAAACCTGTGTTTGAATCCTGTGTTCAGAGGCTCCTAGTGGACTATGATGGATGCAAATCAGCTTGCCAGCCAGTGAATGCGCAGAAATTGGGAGGAGGAATGTGCAGAGAATGGATGCTCTTCTATCGGGGATATCTAAGCAGCCAGCTGCCATCAACTTGGAAGCTGGCCCCAAAGTCCTTCCTTGACTGAATTTTAAGATTCTAAAATTCTAAACAATATTCTTGAAAATTTTGTTGAGCTTTGTTTGCTTCTGAGACTGGAGGGAAGTATTCAAAGACTGGGTTGTCACTACTGCCCAATGGTGAATGCCTTAATGTCTCTGTCTCCTGCTGTCCAGCTGGGGGCACCACCTTTGCCCTAGTGAGCTTCAACAAGAAAGACAAAAGCTTGGCACACCATTGGGCCTTCAACTCTGTCCTTATAAACTTGATAAACTCTTTGTCCTTATAAGCTTTAAAAAACTCTGTTGTTATAACGTACGTAAACCTCAAGGACTTGTGGTTTTGTGGTTCCTTGAGGCCCCTTCCTACCGGAGAGACTTCTGAGGTAACAGAGGAGAGGATTTCTACCTGCACTTTTCCCCCCAGGAGAAGCTAACTCCCTAGTCAATTAAACTGTCTTGACTCAAATGCTGTTTGCTTGGTAACTATCATCAGGAGAGTAATCAGCTACTACTAACCAAAGAACGTGAGGAAAAAGTTGGGATTGGATTGCTTTGGGGAAGATTCTGGAGGAAGGAAGGAGAAAAGACAAAGAAGAATAGGACCACTTACCAGGACCAGCTGCTAGAAATGGACACTGGCAATACTATATTTTGGTTAGCATTTTGCAAACGACTTTTCTAATTTTTTAAAAAGTGATGTCATTCCAAATAATCACCAAGCCCCAACAGGTACAACACACCATTAAGAAGTGAGCAGAATGTATCAATTAAATAAAACCACCACCAACAGAAAATTTCTGATACTTGATAAATATTCAAAATGAGAGCCAAAAGGCATGCATCTTTCATAGTAAACTTCTGACATTCAGTGAGATTCAGCTAGAAAATATTGATCTTCTATCACGTAGAATGCAAAAGGCTGTGCAGTGCAGATTATTATGGAACTAAGAAAACACTTAATTTTTAGGAAAAAATGTATCACTCTTACGAAATACTATTTAAAATATTAATGGTTTAAAAGGAATATATTAGTGTGCGGGGCAGTTAGAAAGCAAGTAAAATATGACATTTAAGCAAGTCAATGTTAAGTCTATAGAAATCACGTTATCATCAAAATTCCTCCCTGCAGAGAATGCATGACGGGACGGGACGTCTTCTCTTGCTTAAGTTCATACAGTCCCAGAAAAGCATGAGAGTAAAATCTGTGTTTGACCTATTTATACCCTATGTCATACCTGCTTTAAGAAAAACTCCTTCAAAACTCTACACTATGAAAAACTATTTTCAGGAATTTTTATTTGGTCCATTGATCTAGCAAGGCCGCGTTCTCAAGTCTTTCACCCCTAAGTTAAAAATTGGAGCAACGAAACAAAACTCCAGCAAGGCATAAATAAGATATTAAAGTGCATATATACAGTCCCAGAAAAGTTTTGATTGGGAACAGCAAAAATTTCTAGTGCAAAAACTGCTTTTGCCAGCAAAGCTCCCTCTCTGGAATCAAAGGGCTACAGTAAAAGTTAAAATTGGAACAGGTTTCAGCAATGCCTCTCTTTAGTCAAGAGTTAATATATGTGCATGCACCTTGACCCGGACTATGTTGTAAAAGGGGGAGTTGCGGGGGAGAGCTCAGAAACAGTCAGAATTCCCTGATCAGAGGCAGTGCTTCCTTTCTCGACGTGTCCCATGAGCAAGTTCCTTAGATGTGTATCAGCTGCGAATGGGGACAAACCCCCCACAGGACATGTTTTGAGTATGCTTGCAGGTACGGAAGAGTATTCACACACCGTTATTTCATCTTGGTTTGTCTTTGTGTCTCTCAGTTCTTCTTTTGAGCCCAACCTTGACGCTATATAGAACATTTTGTGCTTTTGAATCTGAACAGAGCCTGGGCATTGTCTGTAAGGAATTCCCTTGCGTTATCTCACCATGACCTTTTGGACGTCTGGTTTGTCCTCTTTTTTTTTTTTTTTTTTTGGAATTCATAATAAAATAGTTTTGCATTTCTCAGTACAATCATACAGACAAGGATTTATTATTTTTAATTGCTTTCTTTTCCTTCAAGGATCCAAGTTGAAAGCTCGTAGGAGGACATCCAGGTCACCGAGATTAGCCGCCTGGAAGAGTTCCGGTTGGTCCATCAGAGAGAGTGCGATTCTGAGGGCAGCCCAGATATTTCCAGAGATGGCAGGATGAGGGACCTGCTGTTGATTCCTGCTCTTTCTTTGCAAACTGAGGGCAGTGAGAAAATTGCTGACCGCTTCTCTAAGAGGGTGGAAAAACAGACATGTAAAAATGCAACGAAGTTTGACTTAGCAACTTATAAAATGAAATGGATTAATTTCTCTTAATCCTAAATGCTAAATCATCCCCCCGTGGTGCTTTAGATCATCAGGTGAACAACCTTCTGATTCTCTCATTATTCTTTTGTGAAAAGAATCATTGTTTAGTATAGTGAAATCAGAAAGAAAAAGGAAAGCAAATTTTATTTTAGGACTGTCTTGTGGGACGGAAAGAGTAACAGTGAAACCATTGCTAACTCATTAATGCTTCTGCTTTTCTCCACCTTCGGGGATAATTTAAAGACTTAATCCATTTGCAAATGTGATTTATATAACAAGGGTTGACTAAGAAGTATCTGACCCTACTCAGAAACAAAGTGGTTTAAGGGATGCCTGGGTGGCTCAGTCAGCTAAGTGTCTGCCTTTACCTCAGGTAGTGATCCTGGGGTCCTGGGCCCGAGTCCTGCATCGGACTCCTTGCTCAGTGGGGAACCAACATTTCCCTCTACCTGCTGCTCCTCTTGCTTGTGCTCTCTCTGATAAATGAATAAATAAAATCTTAAAAAAATAAATAATTTGAGAGGAATAAAAAGAATAAAGTGGTTTAATTTTTCCCATTGGTGATAGAAATATGTGAGGTCACTGGGACCGAGTTGATTTGTTACCAGAGTGTCTGGGCTTAGAATCCTAATTTCTTATATTCCCAATTCTCAGTTTCCCCAACTGTGTAATAGGAAGAATAGAAGCCACTTTAAAACCTTGTTGTGTGAGGTGCAGTTGGATCCATTTATGTGAAAGCTCTTATTAAGTTAGATCAGTAGTTCTCCAAGTGCGGTCTGGGGAACTCCAAGGGTCAATGAGGTCAAAATCAGTTCTACGATAATCCCCAGAAGTTGTTTTACATTGCTCTCATTTTCTCATGAGTGTACGATGGAATTTTCCAATGATTACATGATGTGTGAAATCCCAGTCGACTGAATGCAGAGGCAGATACGAGAATGTCTCTATTAATCAAGATATTTAAAAACACTGGCAAAAATGATAAAACCATGCCACTATTCTCACCGAGCAGGTTTTTGTTTTGGGGAATCATTATTTTTTATAAATAGATAATATTAACATCTGGTTAATTCCTAGTTTAAATATATCTTTTAAACTATTCTCCATTTAACATCTAATAGAGTAAATATCGATAGAATCTACAGAAAAGCCTCTGGAGGTCGTCAGTAACTGTTAAATGTGTGAGGTGGTCCTGAGAACATGAAGTCTGAGTCAGATGTTGCCCACAGGCCTTCCAGCTCCTCCCAGCCCAAGCTGCTCTCTTGCTCCCGGGTCTACGCTCTCAGGACCCCTGGCACCGGAAGCATGTGTTCTGTATCTGACAAACTGGGCTCTGCTGAGAGTAATGACGCTGCTTTCATTTGTGCCCACTTCACTCTCCTTAAAAGCTTCTCGCACGTTTGATCCCATGTACTCCTGTGAGAACTGGTAGGAAGCTCCGAAGTGAGGCTGGACTTCTGAGTCCGTGCACGTGGTCCAGGCATTTGTTCATCCGTAGGATGAGATCCGCCGGGAAGTAAAGGGCAATCGGGAGACGGTGGCACTGTGCGTGGAGACCTGGCTAATGGAAAGGAGTGGGGTTCTAATTGTCCTTTCTTTGGGAGGGTTAGCAATCAAGCGAGAGAAGAGGGTTTATAAAGAGATGCATGTGTGGAGTTTACTTTGGAGGCCCTTTCTGGCTTCCTTGTCACAGAATGGCAGCTCAGATGACAATGACTCCCTTTCTTCTCCTCATCCTAGGCTTGTAAGAACTCAGGGGAGGAAGATCTTGGAACCCACACAGGCACAGGCCACTCCTAGCTCCCAGGTGTGTGGCAGTGGTCTCTGAAGGAACTGGGGAAAAATGGAATGGTCTAACTTGCAAGCCCTATCGAGCCATGTGAGGTTTTTCCCATGAAGAGAGTCTAAATCTGTTCTCCAACAGAAACACAGAGTTCTTTTGGGATACTCAGAAGATTGTGCATGTAGATGTGCGCATAGTTTTCAGATGTTTCACACATGTGTGTGAATAAGCTGTTCGTGTATGTCTTGATTAATAACATGCATTCAGTAAAAGGGTTCCTCATTTTATAGTATCTTTCCCTCCATATATTAATACTAAAAAAATTATCATCAAAGGGGATGTGATCTATGTTTTCATTAAAAAGAGGTCCTCACTCTTTTTAAAATTTACTTTTTATTTTTTAAAGATTTATTTATTTATATGAAAAAGAGAGAAAGAGAGAGAGCGTGAGAGCGAGCAGCGGGTGGGGTAGGGGCAGAGAGAGGGAGAGGGAGTCTTAAGCAAACTCTGCACTGAGCACAGAGCCCTACTCAAGATCAACCTCAGGATCCTGAGATCATGACTTGAGCAGAAACCAACAGGCACCCCATGAGGTCCTCACTTTTGAGAAGGTGAAGATTCTTTGGCCTAAATTCTACTCTAGGAGCTCCTACTGACAGAGGGGTAGTGTCTTACACTACACCCAGGTTCCTTGCCAACAATTTCCTCTTCTTATTTCAACTGTACAGTACTGGGGAAAGGCTTGCCTTTGACTCTTTATAGAAAATGTGTAATGACAAACAGCCAGGGATATAGCCACGTACACAGACATCTGTGTTCTTGAGGGGTGCGTCCCAAGGTTCCGGTGGATATGAAAGAATATGAACCAGCTCAGGGCTTTTTTCCTGAGTCATATCTCTATGGAGGGTTATCTTTTCCTAACTATCCACTTACACCTCAAGTTAAACTTATTTTCAGAATTCATTTGAAGCTGATGTCTCACTCAATGGTCTTTTTTCCTCAGGAAAAAAAAAAATGCGAAATGTTTAGTACTTAAGATTTTCCACATGTGGAATGACAATAAAAGACCCACAAATCTCTGCTGAGATGTTTTGAAACTTTGAAGTAGTCTTGCAGTCAAGGTTGCCAGATTTACCAAGAATGGTAAATGCACAGTTAAGTTTGAATATCAGGTAAACAGTTCATTACCTGTAGTATGAGCATGTCCCATGCAATATTTGGGAAATACTTACCTGAAAGTGTATTTGCTGTATCTTGGAAATTAAAATTTAACTGGGCATTCTGTATGTTATTTGGCAACTTTAAAGCTGATTTGCTCCTGTACAGGTGACTTTCATCTAGAGGATTTAAAATTCTCCCTCAGCAGATTTGCGCATTTCCACCTATCACGACCCTTTCCAGCCGCCAGCTAACGGTTACCCTCATGAGCCTTACACCTGCGACTGCCAAGAAAGTATTTTATTGACTTCTCAAGTATTGTTTTCTACACTGTAATGAGGAGTTCCATTTAAGAAAGACTCATCTGGAAGCTTTATAAAAGCCTCCTTTAATTGAATTTAATGTCTACAGGTACATACATACTTACTTCCACTTCCCCTTGTTTCAAACAAAGGTATCTCCTAAAGTACATATATACAACATAGTGAGAAAATAAGTGACTGGAAGGGGTGAAGATAAAATCAGGTTAGGAAAGTGAGATGAGAGCAGGAATGAACTTAGTATGCAAATCCGACAGGGTCAGCCTTAGCCAGCTGGGGTGGGAGGAGACCACGCAGGCGCCCTGGGGCCCTTTGTGTGGCTGCTGTGAGGCCAGTCTCCCATGGTTCCCTTCACAATGTCCGGAAAATAAAGCAAACCAGCTGCTCCGGAGTCACTCAGCTATTCCTGGCTTAACCTGAGTGAGGTCCTCTTAGAGGACTGGTGTAATCCAGTGCTAAATGTTCTTTCTAAGATTCTTTTAGTATAAATGAAGCAACCAGTTTCTGAAACCTCACTGTTTGCCCCTGACACAGTCCCCAAACGCAGTTCAGAAACAGGGGCTCTTCAGATGTCAAAAGGATGCTCTCTGATGACTTATCTGAATAAATAATGATGGGGTTACTCCTGATGATGGCCACTGTCATAGTCATGGTAACAGATGCCCACTACTGCTCCATGCTTAGGCAATTTACATCTAATCTGTGCAACGATCCTGCAGGCTGAATATTATTTTACCACTTTTTTTTTTTTTTTAAAGCAGGTGAAGAAATTGAGGCTAAAACGTGTGGGCTCAGAATCACGAAACCAGTAAGTGGCAGAGCTGTGATCTGAACCCAGGCTTTTCAGATTCTAAAAGCCTGGCTCTTTTTGAGAAAGAGAAAGGGTTTATGTTTTTTTTTTGTGGGATTTAAGACTAACAGTTTTCTTTTTTCCAGTTGTGAAAGTAATGCCTACTTAGAAGCTGAAAAAGAAGAGAAAATTACCTATACTTTTAAAAAAGATTTTATTTATTTATTTGAGATAGAGAATGAGAGCGAGCAAAAGAGTGAGAGAGCAGGAGCAGGGGGAGGGGCAGAGGGAGAGGGAGAAGCAGACTACCCACTGAGTTGGGAGCCCAACATGGGACTAGATCCCAGGACCCTGGGATCATGACCTGAGCAGAAGGCAGACGCCAAACCAACCGAGCCACCCAGGTATCCCTCACCTAGACTTTCCTTACCCAAAAGAAATGAAGGTCATTCATTCCTGTTGATGAGTTAAAAATAGAATGTAGGAAGGATGTAGACCGGATGATGAAGAATAATGAGAAAACAAGAAAGACATTTTAAACCATAAGCCTACCCCTTAACATTTGTTTTAAAGAAAATATTTATTCCTTAAAAAAAAAAAAAAATTTAACTACTTCACTGGCAAAGTAGTTTCAGATAACCTGGACTTTTGGTTGTGCTTTGCCCAAAGGCTGGCGCTAGACCTTCTTAAGTCATTTTACTGGGTGGCCCTGCCTCACCTTCCCAAGGTTCTCTCTTTCTTTACCTGGGAAATGAAGGGTTGGACAGTTAAGTTTCTCAAAGAGTTGCCTCAACCCATGCTGACTGATCGGAAATCGCAGGGGGAGGTGCCCAAGAATCTTCATTCACCAGATGCCCTATGCAATTGTCACTCTCCAGAGATGGAGAAACACCGAAGCAGACTGTTTCCACTTCAACAGGCCTCAGGAGGCAAAGGTTCAGCTGTTCCCTTAACAAGAGGTGGAGGGCTACTCCTACAAAAGGAGGTATTTTCACTGGCAAATGGCCTTTCAGGTTAGTCCACCTCAACCCTGAGTGTGGCTCCTGATTCTCGGCCTACAACCATACCGCACCTGTAGGCGCCCAGATTGATGCAGCTGATGCCCAGGTTGTATCTGGATCGGATGAAGCCCGGCTGAATTTCCAGGGCGCGCGTGTAGGCCTCCACGGCTTCCTCACTGCGGTCTCCGTTGGCCAGCGTTGCCCCCAGCCGGTTCCATAACGAATAGTCCTGATGACAAGAATCCGAGCCAATAACCAGCGTGAGCCACAGTGACAGAGTATTCCCATATTGCTCGCAGAAGCAGCATGGTGGCTAGACATCTATTCAGGGCTCATGGGTAGGGATCATGATGGTGGAGAATTACTCAAAAAATGGTATGGACGGCTCTGAAATGACTTTTCGTCCATCCAAGAGCAGCTACCATTGGATGCTGTCGGACAATTCATGTTTCTATTTGAGGTACTTGAGGATGAACAGCCACAGTAGCATGTTGTTAGTACTGATCACTTTAACCATTGGATGCAGGGAAATAAGAGATAGCGGAAATGTCCAAAGTGTAGTTGTGAGAAACTTATTTTGAACAGAGAACCCTATGGATTCTTGTTGTGCACTTACCTCTGGTCGAACAGTTAAGGCAGCGTTAAATGCATCGATAGCTCTATTAAATTCTCCGCTCAGGTGGAACAGTACCCCCAAGCCCGTCTGTAGGTCTGGGTCAATCATATCTCCATTTTGGTGGGCAGCTTCCAGATATAATTCCTTAACTCCTTCCAAAACAGAGCTACGAGGGAAAAAGTGGAGGTGTGTATTCCAAATAGTCTGAGCATATATTATTTACTATTATGTCCTCTGTTCCAAGAGAACATTACAGACTGGAAAAATTATGCTTAAAATATCTTTGCTTAATGAGAAGGACTATTAATACTGCACATTAAAAAATACCTGCTGATTTTCATGAATTACTTCCTTGTACACAGAAACAGACTGTGCTAAGTTAAGTAAGGTCTTCACAAGGACAGTTCCACTGACCCTATGCGTGCCAATGTGGAAAACCACAGGGCTCCACGAGAATGAATTTAACATCCTGATTTACTGCTGAGAGAAACAAAACACCTAGAAGGAAGGACTTCCATTTTTACTCATAGCCAGTTCTCAGGCTTTATGAAACTTGGTGCATTCTATAATTTATTTTAGGTTAATTATATGTACATAGCCTTTTGCTTTAAATTATGGTACTCTGGCAAAATGTCTGTGAGTGCCCACAATCTTGATCATGTGTCCAATTGTTGGTTCTGGTCTCGGCATCAATCTTTGTCATCAGAGTTGCTCTTCTAGCATTCCTGTTGCTGGTGAGGCTTGTTAATTACCCTTAAGGTGCCTAATGGTGTAACAGGGTGTTGACCGCTGACTGTAATTTAATTAGCAGGATACCTATCAACTGGAGACTTGGACATCCTCCGGGTAAGGCCTGGAGATCCCTTCTTGCTCTTCACAAGGTATTTGTACTTTGGGTTTTGCTTAATCCAATTCTTTAGAGCCTCACAGGCATCCTGCTGATGGCCGGTGTTAGTATAACTCACGGCCAGAGCCATCAAAGCTTTCAAGTTGTTGGGCTGTAATTCCAAACACCTGCAAGAAGGCATAAATAAATAGGTAAATAAATAGCCAATTTCAGATTTTTTTCTGAGCTAGAGTCTAACAGTTCTTTAGAAAATTTGGGGTTGTTACTAATTAAAGGATGCAAAAGCATGGCTAAGTTTATGTTAAGTCCTTGGAAAATACCGTATTTATTTATGTGAAAATTGGGATCTAAGTATATTTTTAAGAAAGTTAAAACTCATCTTGATGAGCGCTAGGTCCAGTAACTTAATAAATGGTTTACAACCATAGAAAGGGTGGCTAATCCTTGCACAAAATTTCTTAGGAGTTCATTTCATGAGGACAGATAGCATTGTTTTAATGCCGCTCTACTGTTGATGTATTAAATGTATCATATCCACAAAGCAAACTGACTTGAGGTAAATTTGATTCAGCAGAGATGAAAGGCTTTATAGTGTTTTAAAAAGGAGAGGGAGAGTCCTGTGTATCTAAAAGACTACTGACGTGGCTTTACACGGGGCACAGGCTACAGCTGCTCCCCCTCATGCCATTCCACTAGCCTCTAGCAGGGGCCTTTCAAATTTGGCGATGCATGAGAATCATCTGGGGATCTGCTAAATGCAGAGGATGTAATACAGTCAGCCTGGGGTGGGACCGAGACTGGGCGGGTCTGACAAGTTCCCGGGTGATAATGAAGCTCGTAGTTGCTGGAAAAGACTTAGAGTCTTACTGCCCTAGACAGTACCTACATCAGTGCTTTAGGGAGAGATTATAGAGGGACTGTATGTTGTATAGGGAAAGGGGAAGTTGATTTAGTAGGGGTGATTTTTTCAGGGTACACAGAGGGCCCTCATTAAGTGAAGTGTGATGCTACATCCACCCAAAGCAGTTTAGACCTTTAGTCATGGGCTCAGTGGTTATCCTTGTAGGTCACTGAAACTCTGTCAGGAGAGTCTCTGTAGACACAAGGAGCTAAAATTACACTGAGATTATTTTGAGTATGTTTCTTCTGAGGAAAACTTTCAAATGCTGCAGAAGGCTAGAAAGTTAAGAGGAACTATATATGTATTGAGTCTATTTTATGACCACTTTTGACATAGTCACATTTGTGTCAATGAAGGTCAGCTGATTTGGGGATGACAAAACACTGCGATTTAGGAACATTATTTCTTCATAGATTCTTGTTTCCTACAGCTAAGTACAATGTGGCATCTCAAAACTTATCCTGGCCAAATTCTTTACAATGTACCTAAGGGTCAAAGATAGCAAAAACAGGAAGTGACCCGGCCCATGATTTTGCACTTAGCTTCATCTACCTCTGGAGGGCGACAATAGCTGCTTGTTCGTTTTCATTCTCTGCCTGGGTTATCCCAAGGAACTGCCATGCCTACAAAAAACAACTGAGGTCAACATTGCAAGAGGAAGCAGATTCATTCCTGTGCTTTAGATCCCTCCATGCAGAACAACCTGTCTCAGACTCGACAGTCTTCTAAAAGGGAAAAATATCATAAGCATTTCTTTATTCAAAGGCTCTTCTGACATCTGGGTCAAGATCCTCTGACATTTTGACAAATTCTCAGTATTTACTCTCCTGTGACCCATGGAAACATTTGAGTATCTGAGATTTTACGGTATTAGGTGCCTTAAAACCAAAAGATAATTATATGAAAGTATGCATTTGTGAGGAAAAGGGATGGAAAATAACCCAGAAATATTGCTGAATAGCGTGGACTTTATATAGCAAGGAATCTCAAGATGTACAAAATGAAATCAATTTGTGATGCAAGTCTGACTGTTACTATAAGAGCTAACAGAAACTTTAGGAACTAGGGAAAATAAAAACAAAACTCTCCATTCTAATGTGTTCATGGCTCTAATATCACTGTTAAAATGCTTAAAGCACATATAAAATGTAATATAATACATACATAATTTTATAGCCTACACTTATACTTTATATTGCAACATAAACACTTTTCATGTTTCTATAAAATCCTTATACTTATAATTTTTAATTTAAATTTTGTTGGGTGGATACCCTATTGTTGATTCAACCAATAACCTGTTACTGTAAGGTTGTTTCAGTCCTTTGCTATTGTCAACAATGTGAAGAATATCTTCAAGCAGATAACATTTTTCATATCTGGAACGAAAGTTTTTAGTATAACAAATTTCTCCCTATATATTTAGAAGAACAATAATTCTCACACCATTACAAGAACAATCCCATGAAAAAATCTCTCATTACATATACTGTCCTCAAATTTGCTGGGGATGGGGGTATGTCAATTTTTAAAAACCCTTTAAAGGGGTTTGGGGAGTGCATAACTACACCTACAGACATTTGAAATCAAAACTATATGACGATACATAGAATCATCCTCAAATGCTGTAAAAATTATATTGGCTTTATCATCCTGAGTTTTTATTACCCATGCCATATAAACTCATGAAAATACTGATTATTTCTCCTCCAAATATCAGTTATTCTTTTACATCTATTGATTATACACAGAGAAGCCCTGATGTTGATTTCACCCTCCATACATCTTAGAATGCTTCTTAAGTTTGATGAAGCAATCACTCTCTAGTGGCTTCTCGCTAGCCTTTGAGCATGGTGTCATTTTCACTGTTCACAGATCGTCCTTTATCTGAATTTTGGAGTCTCCAAGATTCAGAAGCCCTGAGTACTTGGTTGGGATCCATTAGTTACCCAGTGCCTTAATCCTCTCATTTATGAATCTGACATAATAATGTATACTTCTTTTTTTAACCTTCCAGGGTTATTGTGCCAAATTATATAATACACTTGAAAACACCATAGCATTTAGAAATGTAAGATGATATTCTTTTGGGGGGATGGCCTATAGTTTTCTACTAAAGTAATGACTTTCTCTTCTGTAGTGATTCATGTATCTTCTTTAAAATTCCAATATTTCGGTTCACATTCCAATTCTCAGTTCAATCTCATTCCACTGTCAATGTTTTGACTAACAAGATACCAGGGAATTAACATAGTAATCGGTTTACTCATTCTTTCTATACAAACTTTAAGTACAACCAATAATAATAATGAAGGCTAATTACTGATGTACCAGACATGAACTAAGCACGTTATTTGCATGAACTAATTTAATCCTCACAACACCCAATGAGATAGTTATTATAATTGTGACTTCCATTTTATGTATGAAGAAATGGAACTGAGACAGTTTAAATGACTTGTCTCTGACCACATGGCTCATGGCTCATGAGTGGTAGAGCAGGGATTTGAACCCACACATTTAGGACAGCAGAGCCTAGAAGCTGAACTGCTACTCTATACTGCTGTCTCAGCACCATATATACCTCTCCCTAGAATTTCTGCAAATCCCTTATGAGGATTAGTCCTTGTGAGACGATTACTGAAAATCACTCCCAAACTAAAAAAGGAGACTTTACACCTACCACTATCCTATTACAGGCCTCTGCAGGTTTGGAAACATAGTGGATTAAGGGAGGATGGCAAAGCCTCTCTTAGCGGTCTCTTGGCCTCTGTCTCCATCACCTTCCACACCATAGAGAAAGGGATTTTTCGAACATGCAAATCTGATTGTACCCTCTGCTGAGTAGAGTTCCCTAGTGGTTCTCCTGGCTTTCATGAAATTCCGAAGCTTACCCACCTCTTCTACCTCCTCTCCCATCATTGTCTTCTCCCCTCAGCCCCCTGGAATAATGTTTCATGCCCCACTGCCCACACACAAACCATTTCCTCTTAACACCTTGATGCCCCTGCTGTCTTTCATTAAGCCCCCTCCTTCAAACCTCAAATTTGGATTTAATTGGAGGGGAAAGCCCGCTCAGAAACCTTGCTCTCTGCTCTCATGGCAGCCTGTGCATACTCTGACATTGCATTTATTACACTGCATTGATTTATTGATTTGTCTCTCCAGATAGAACACAAATGTATCTTTTCAACAGTTCCATTTTCCCAGCCTGGCACATTTCTTGGGACACAGTATGATATTGTTCAATAAACGTTGAACGAGACAAGGGTGGGGTAGGGTGTTGCTCTAGTCCTAGACAAGACTATACACTGCCCCCTGAAAACTACTGCTCAACCTCCAGGTTGACAATTTTGGTTTGTCATTTCTTGTCCCCACCCTTTTATTTTGGGGCACTGTGGACACTGCACATTTGACTTGGTTAGAGAACAGGTACCTATTTTTAACTTTTAAACATATAGCAGAGTAAGCCAGGTTAACTCCTTTGGGAGCCTTTCCTTGATGCAAATGTAGCCCAAGAGAGTTCTGTGGCATCCCGGGTCCCTCATTCACATGCAGCCACTTTGTGAGCCAAGCAAGATAAAGAGAATATGTTACCTCTGCATCTCCGGGGTCCTGAAGAATCGCTGCTTCCATGAACAGGATGGTGACGGGCAGATCCCCTTCCTTCAATCTTTTTAAGCCTTCTTCAAATGCTCCAGGCCAGTCCTTGAAGGGATTTTCAGTGTGAAAGTAATATCCCTACAAAATGGAGAAGGGAACTATGAGATCTATTGATTTATCTCTTCATTCTGATATTCAGTGAGCTCTTTTTGAATTTGAATTTAATTAATTTATTTTAATTATTTAACTTATTTAAATATCACTGTTTTTTCCCCTTCCTGTGAAGGTAGTACATTTTCATTATATAAATTTTGGATGATATTATTTTGTTATTGAATAATATAAAAAGAAACAAAAGTTATCCATCATGCCACAACGTATCACTGCTAATATTTTAGGGTTTGTTTTCTGACTATTACTCTTTTGCTCTTTTTGCTTTAGCCATTTCCCCCTGAGATTTAAAAAATGCAGAGTTTTAGACGTATTTTTGCTAAGTGCTACCACTCATCCCCCTGAAATGTTAAAGCCACACACTGTACATCTGCTTATGTGCTGTGACTCTTTGGAGGGCTACAAACCATTCTATCTACCATTTTCTCTACCTTCCTACTCCTTGAGCCAGTTTTTGTCCTATGGGGGGCTATATTCGCCCCATTGAGAATGCATGTTTTAAAGTTATAGGTCTTTTCTTTCAAAAATTTAAATTGTACAGAAGTATAAATGATCTTTTTCTATGAATATATAAATTAAACAAATAAGCTCATATACAGTCTTGTAGCTTAAGCCCCACATAGTTTTAGTTTTAAAAATTATTTGCATTGTGCCAAAACTTATTTAACCAAGGTCCTACTGATGGACATTCAGGTTACTTTCAATTTTTTTGTTTTCATAAATAAAGTTACAGTGAAAACTTTGTGCTCAAATCTTTGTCTGCCTATGATTATTACCTTAGGATAGACTTCTAGAGGGATTTATTAGACTAAAGGCTATGAACTATTTTGAGGGCCTTGATATGTATAACTGAATTTCGAGATTTGTCCCAAGTTAAACTCTAATTGGAAATATCTGAGGGAACTGATTTGTTGCAACATTACCAACATAGGTCATCATAATATCCTTCTAATTTGATAGATACAAATAAGCTAGTCTGTTAATGATGCTACTAAGGTTTTGAAATCGGTTAAATGGAGACTTTCATTCTCCATTGTCACTGAGACAGCCCTCTTTATCTAAGCCACAGGGTATGTCCAGTTTATGTAGTGGTGTTACAGATATGGGGTCCCAGGGGCGAGGAACTCAGGGTCCCAGCCATGCCTCAGGGGCATGAATTATATTCTAGAGTCTGACAATATATATCAATGTTTCCTCTTCTTGCTTAGCTTTGATTTCTTTGTGGAAGAGGGTTTTTTTAAATAAGATAGTTACTCTGATTTTATGAGATTGCCTGGCCTACTGAGGGGCAGAGAATACTGGGGGAAGGAAGACATTTTAATGACTATGTAGACTGAAAATCCTCTAAGATCGAAGACTATTCATCATCATAGTATATTTCTACATAGGCATTCAATAAATATTTGTTGGATTGAAGAGATGGAAGTTATGCAGAACAGAATATTATTGAGACTTCCTCCACCACAAAAAAATCCATAATACACACATATTATATATATACATATATATATACACACACATATACACATATATACATATGTGTGTGTATATATAGTTTTTCCTTTAGTAAGAAAATTCCATATCTTTTTCTATCCTTCAAGTCCTTTAAATTTATTTCTGAAAAGTGTCCCTCCCCTCTTCGCCAAGTGTTATTTTTTTATTATTTATTTACCTATATTTATTTATTTTTTCACCAAGTGTTTTTAAAGATTTTATTTATTTATTTGACAGAGAGATCACAAGCAGGCAGAGAGGCAGGCAGAGAGAGAGGAGGAAGCAGGCTCCCTGCTGAGCAGAGAGCCCGATTCGGGGCTCGACCCCAGGACTCTGAGATCATGACCTGAGCCAAAGGCAGCGGCTTAACCCACTGAGCCACCCAGGTGCCCTCACCAAGTGTTTTTAAAAGCATAAACCCAAGGTCAACTGGGACTGCATGGGCAATTTGGCTGGTTGTTGACTAAATTCACACATTTGCTGGATCTCCTTTCAGGGGAATATCTTAAAAGGCTTGGGAGTTGTCCCTGGGACTTGACCTGGCTGTGTGAAGGGTATCTTTTCCACTGAGTTTCTTTGTTAGCTGTATAAGGACCACCAGTGAAATATAGCCCTAAGCCCCCACCTTACTCCCCTGTCCGCTGATACCATTTCTATTAGCTAATTCACCTGGCTCAATGAATGACTAACAAAAAGCACTGTGAGATTAGTCCGTTCTTGTTCCAACCCACCCTCAATGTCAGTTAGTTCAGTAACTTGCCAACAGTCAAGATGCAAGCTCTTGGTGGCTGCCAAACTGTATTAATTAACATTGATAAAAATAAGGGTATTTCATTCCAGCTTTGCTGTCTTCACACATTGGAGGATTACATTGTTTTCATCCACCAGGATTTCTTCTAGGTCAGACTGACATTAATTTGTCTACTTAATTCTTGACTTTTCTGCAAAATAGTTAATGACTAATTTATAAAAACATGATGCAAAAATGTTGAGAAAGCTGGTCAGCATATGTAAGAACAGAATTGGTCACCTTCTCGCTGGCCGAGATTGTAACTTGGTTCTGAGCTTCTTGGTTCTCTGATATCCAGTTCCTCCGAGCCATTTCTTCCCATTCTGCTTGCATCTTATCCCAAAACTCTGTATCTGACTAGGAGACAGGAAAAATGAAGAGAAATGGATTTAGGACCATGCTATGTCACCTGGTTTATTTCTAGAAAGACAGTTTTCCTCATAGATCAGAATGAGTTCTGAGGAGGAATAAGATGTTCAAACTGGCCACATCCAATGATACTCATGGTTGAAGAGCTCCTGGAGGGTACTTAGTGGTCAGAATGTTGAATTGTATTAGTTGTGACTTTCTCCAGCAGGAAAATAGTTACCATCTGAAGGACGAGGGTCATATATACCAAATTCAGCTAAAAATCCATTACTTGAGCTGCTTCAAGTGTGGGCACTGGGCACACATTTTAGGAAGGATGGTCTTAGAGTTGCTCTCAGGATATGAGGAATTACAGCAATGGCTTTGGGACTGAATGGGCAGTGACTTGGGGAAGTAGCTGACCATGGACAAGGGAAAATAACACTAATTGACCCTACTCTGTGCTAGGACTGTGCTAGGAAAACACTGAGCACAGAGGATTATGGTCACAAAGCTAGGATTGCATAGGATCAGAACCCCAGTCTGGCTTTCAAGCCCATGCTCTATGGGAAACATGGCATCCTGGTTCTAAAGAATGAAAGACATTGGCTTTCAGTGTGAACTTAACTGAATCCTCTTAGTGAAGGTCTTGTCTATGGCAGGATGATTTTTTGAAAAATATTACTTTGTGTTTTTCTCCTTATAATTTTCCTTTATGTTTTCCAAAAGGGAAACCAGGCCATTTGCTCCCCTTTACTTCAGGGGAGGACTGAAGCAGAAATTTTCTGAAAGATCTGTCCATGGTTGGCTTCTATTTTGTTAAGCCTGAAGAGAGTACTTTGGGAGTCCTGGTATGAGGAAAAAGGGGCAAATATTTTAAAGAATTTAAGAGAGGAAGGGGAACTTTCCAGGGGTGGGAAAAAGAAGTAGGGTGGTGGATTCTGAGATGAGTGGGAAACTGGTGCTTAGCTTTTAGGTTTTCCTCTGTGAACTGACCTGACTTTCAAGAGGGTGACAGATGGTATGAATGGGGAGGCTGACTTCAATTCTGATTCCAACATGGCAGGGATATAGAAACTGGATTTCAAGGAACCACTTGTTGGGGCTTGTTGTTTGTTAGCCATCAATATGATAGACAAGAGGGTAGAGACTCTGCCCTTGATTTCTGGCACCACATAATCCTTCCATATTTGGTGTCTGAGTCTAAGTTAGTAAGAGAGATGCTTGGAAACTACTTAATTTTCTTTAAAGAAATCAAGGGGTGTTAGTGCTTGAACACCTGAGTCTGGGACTGAGATGCATAATCTTAACTGCAAATCTTGATTTCTATGATTCTAAGTCTTGTGACTTGTTAACATGCCATCAAAGTTGCCCTTCACCTTTCAATCCTTCTAGTCTTACCTTCTACTCTACCCTCATGCCTGGTGGTGGTTGTTCTATAGTGGAAACTCTTCAAAGTTTGTCTAAATGATAATTATAAGCTTACGGGTATATACGTTCAAAGAAAAAAGTCCAGAACAATGTGCTTAATCCCAGGCTGCTAAATAAATAGTAGGTCTTGTTATTCTCCTTTATTATGTCCACAATACTCCCTCCTACTACAAGAGCGGTCCTGTCCTTTCAGCAGAGGCCTCCCCTTGACAAAGCCGCAGGGCTGCAAGTACCTTGACAAATTTGTGTCTGAGACTCTAGAAGCACATGGAATGGCCATCACTTATCCAGGTTAAGGTTAGGAATAAAACTCAAAGTTTCTTTTTTTAGCAAGTCTTTCTAGCAGAATAAATACCAAGTTATGCAAACAGAATGATCTCAGATATACAAAAGTAATGGTTTGATAAAAAATTAGAAAGAAATATGCTGCCATATTAAGAGTAAGTTGTCTGAATGAAGGGATGATGGATGGTGTTTTTTCCTGCTTCTTCATACTTTTCTGCACTTTCTGCATTTTCTACAAGTATGCATTGCTGATCTAATTTTTTAAAAGGTTCAAAACAACAATAAAACAAAAACAATTATCTATCCTTTTTAAAAATACCATAAACCTGACTATTTAGATACTGAGGAATTTGGAAAAAATTTTTGAAAAAAATTTTGGAGACTTGTTTTCTGGAATAGCTTTTCACAGATGTACATTCAGCTTGTCTGCATAGAAACTAAGATAAATCTATGGAGTGATTATAAAGTTTACTGATTTTCCCAATTCTTCTGAATGAAAGAATGAAGATGACTTCATAACATGTACATCTGGATTACAAAAGCATGCATCACCTTTCCCGCAGTTTCAAATTAGATCTGCGGATACAGAAATAAGACTGCTGTATAAAACAGGACCTCAGTGGAGGTGAGGTTGCCAAGCTCTTATTTAATGAGATACACCAGGACTTACTGTTACCACTTAGAATGAGATCTGCTGACTAATTAAAGTGCGTAGCACAGATTCCTTTAATTACAGATGACTACTTTTAGCACAATCAATTCTCATCCAGTCTCAGAATCTAGATTTCATTCACATAACTGCAATTAACACTGCTTCTTTTTTCTATTTCTAATCAATTTTAGAGAAACCTGAAACACACTTGAATTTTAACTTTTGTCAACACGACTGAGGGAGTTTTTATGTATTGATGATTTCTTAGCTGTTCTGGGATTTTGTAGATTTTTTTAAATACTCTACAGGTAATAAGTTATCTGCTTACACCAGAAATGAGCAACTTGCAATCCATTTTCATTTTTAAAAATAGCTTTCTGATTATAACAATGGTAGATATTCATAAGAAACTTGGAATATGTGGTAGAGTGGTTAAGAACAGCAGCTCTCTCCTCATATAGACACGGGAACAAATGTGGCTTCATCACTGATCTTCTGCAAGACCCTTGACTCCTCTAGGTCTCATTTTCCTTATCTTTAAAATGAACATACAATAATGATATTGGTCAGTTATTATGAGGATTAAATGAGAAAATATATCTGTGGCATGAAACACAGTGTTCAGTAAGTGTTGGTGTGGTTATTAGTGTTTTGGTATCACTGGGAAAAAAAGAAAGAATGAAACAAAGAGCATCTACAACTTCAAAGCACAAATATAGATCTATGAATATCTTGGTGTTTTAATTTGCTGTAAATACATATCTTCTTCTAGATTCCTTCCCTCTCTTTATTTAAATCTTTCCCTTCTACCTCATTATTTTAAAATTGGAACAAAGTTAAGAAGATTATGGACAAAACAGATGTAGCATAAAATGATATTTAAGAAGAGTTGTTACAACATGGAGCAGGCCTTGAGTAATACTATTCCTTCATAAATAGTATGATCACAGTGATAGGAAACAACAATATATAACATGTTTGGAAAATAATGACTATAAAGAAATGCACCAATAGCATTACTTTTACGGGATGCGATTATGAATAAGTGTGCCATCTCCTTTCCTTGTATTTTTTAGCATTTCCCAAATTTTCTAGTGCTGACACATTATTTTTGTGAAAAAGTAAGATTTGGTTAAAAAACACTTCTGGGGTGTCTGGGTGGCTCAGTTGGTTAAGTGCCTGAACCTTGATTTTGGCTCAGGGCATGCTCTCAGTTTTGAGAGATCAAGTCTTCCTCAGGATCTGAGTTTAAAGGGAAGTCTGCTTGAAATTTTCTATATTCCTTTCCCTCTGCCCCTCCCCCTACTTGCACATGCTCTCTCACTCTCTCTAAATAAAACCTTTAAAAAAAAACTACTTCTTTTCAATCTCAATTCCTCCATGATGTTTCTCCAAAGACCCTAAACTAGAGGGATCTCTTGCTTCTCTGAGTTCCTCTGAGCTAACACTGTGTACGAGTGGTTAGGAAGAAGAGAGATGTGTGCTAGAAGCTTCTATTATCCCTGTAAACTTGAATGAGTTGTTTAAACCCTTATGTACTTTTTTTTTTTTTTTTTTGGTCATTTGTAAAGTAAGAAGATTAAATTGGCTAGACAATAGCTCAGGTTTCTTTTCTACTCAGATTGACTCAAAAGATCAGAATGAGTGGGACAGGAAGTGGGCTTCTACCCTATTCACTGATCTCTAAAAATCGTACTTTAAAGCATTTTCCCAGGAGTAAAACTGACATTTTCCCTTTACTTTTTGGTTGTAAAACTAGAAAATAAAAATTTCTATGAGAATCACGGTAAATAAAATACTAATTAAATTAAAATATAAAGAATAAAAAAAATAAGCAATTCAATTTAGAATCTGGGAATTTTAAGGAAGAAAAGCATATTGCTACTTTCTACTCACTAGTCTATTTTGGTTATCCTTGAGTTAAAGTAGAGAGACTTTCATTTTTGTGGTCAAATGTAATTGTTGAGTAGAAGTATCCTGGAGTTGGGCTGTGAAAGAACTGTTTGATGTGAGATGGTTTGTCCATTGTGCCTGTGAGGAGTCTGACTTTCTTTTTGCTTTAGACATCCATTGATGAACTGTCACTAGATCAAAACTTAAATAATCCATTCTTTATATGCAAAAGAAAAGAGAGTAGCCCTTACATGGCAAGCAATGAAAATCTCTGTGCAGTTTTGGACAAAATATCTGCCACAACAATTTTTGTCAAAGTGAAATTACGTGTAGATCAGTTAGAGACCTTATTGCCCTGGGATCCCAAAGTCCAGGCTAGCAAAAATGGCTGAAACATCCCCACTCACATCTCTTATTGACTAAAAGCTAATATTAGTCAAAGATTCCATGTGGCTGCCCAAAGAACATAATTCAACCAGGGGCTGTAAGAATAGACGTTCAGCACCCTGTTCAAGAACGGAATAGAATTTCGATTGGTCAGAATTAGTTTGAGCTCTGGGTGCAGTTCTGGGTGTCTAACATAGTGATGGTCATTGGCAAGCTGGAGTCTATTCCAGCAAGAGTACATGGGCAAGAGTAACAGTTTATGAAGCAATTCACTGGTACAGCAAGGTTCAGAGGGGTGGTGGAACTAGGCAAGAAGCCTTAGTCTTTCTTGCAGACAGAAGAACTAGGGTGAATGAATGGC